TCAGGAATAAGACAAGGTTGTTAACTTTCTTCAGACTTATTCAAAATAATACTGAAGTTTTAGTCAGATCGATAAGACAACTGAAGGAAATCAAGGGGATACAAACATGAAAGGAAGAAGCCAAAGTATCTTTACTTGCAATTGATATTATTGCATATATAACGACCCTAAAAATTCCATCAGGAAAATCTTACAGCTAATAAGCGTTTTCAACAAGGTAGCAGGAGGCAAAAATAACACACAATACTCAGTAGCATTCCTATATACAAATGACAAACTGAGAAAGAGCTAAAGGAAACATCATTCACAATGCCCTAAATAATATATATATGTGTGTGTGTGTGTGTGTGTATATCTCAGCGTAACTCTAGACAAGGAAGTGTGAGGTTTGTATAGTAAAAAAACTTTAACACTTTGAAGAAAGAAACTGAAGATATCAGAAGGTGAAAAGATCTAGCTTATGGATCAGTAGAATCAATATAGTAAAAATGACCATCTTATAAAAAATAATCTACAGATTCACTGCAATCCCCACTGAAATTCCAAAACAATTCTTCAAAGAACATTAAAGAATAATTTAAACGTTTTATGAAAACACAAAAAGCCTAGGATAGCTAAAACAATCCTGAACAATAAAAGAACTTCTGGAGGTATTACCATTTTCTATTTCAAGTTGTACTACAAAGCTACAGCAATAATAATAATAATAAAATAGTATGGTATTAGCATGAAAACAGACACAACGATCAATGGAATTATATTAAATACTGAAAAATAAATCTACACACCTATGGGCACCTGATTTTTTTTAAGCAAAGAAACAAGAAATACACACTGAAAAAAAAGAAAGCATCTTCAACAAATAGTGTTGGTCAAATTAGATGGCTGCATATAGAAGATATATTTATATCTTCTATAAATATATGTTTATCACCTAGCACAAAACACAACTCCAAATGAATCAAAGACCTCAAAATAAAACCAGATACTCAACTTCATAGAAGAGAAAGTGGGGAAAAGATTTAAACAGATTGGCACAGGAGAAGACTTTCTGAACGAAACACCAATAGCACAGACACTAAAGATCTGAAACAGAAGTTTCTGCATGGCAAAGGGTACCATAATTTAGACAAAGCAGCAGGATATAAAATTGGAGGAGATTTTTGTCAATTATACATCTGATATAGGGCTAATTTCTGAAATACACAAAGAATAAAAAATACTGTACATTATGAAAACAAATAACCCAATTACAAATGAGATGCAGAAATACAGAAATCTCGAAAAGATAAAACAGAAAGACTGAGATTCCCCTTTGAATAATTTCATTATCCTTAATCACCAGGGAAACACAAATCAAATTTCTTTAAAATTTCATCTGACTATAGTCAGAATCTCCAAGATCAATAAACCAAATGACAGCTTATGCTGGAGGCGAGGATATAAAGTAAGAGGAACACACATCCGTTGCTGGTGGGACTGCAAACTTGTACAGCCACTATCAAGATCAGTGTCATGGTTCCTCAGGAAGATTGGAATTGATCTACCTCAAGATCCTACTCTACTATATCATTCCTAGGCATACTCTATAGAGACACATTGCTAGTTTTTTCATAATAGCCAGAAATTGGAAACAGCCTACATATACATTAATGAACGAATGGATAAGAATAATATGGTACATTTACACCATGGAATATTACTCAGCTGTTAAAAAATAAAACCATGAACTTTGAAGGTAAATGGATAAAACAGAAAAAAAAAAAAAAACTTATCCCAAGTGAGGGAACCCAGACCCAAAAAGGTAAATCTGGTGTGTGTGTGTGTGTGTGTGTGTGTGTGTGTGTGTGTGTGTGTGTGTGTGTATTAACTGTTAAGCCTTCAACAAGCAGGCTGCAATATACCTAACCACAGATGTTAGGTACAGAGCAACATATGGGGCAGGATGTCTCCCTAGGATAGGTAAATAGAAAAGATAGCAATGGATAAAAAGATAAAAAGATAAAAATGGATAAAAATGATAAAAAAGATAAAAAGATAAAAATGATAAAAAGATAGCAATGGTAGGGAGGACTAGGATGGAAGGATTGAGCAGAGAGAGGAAAAGGAGGGTAAGGAAGGGAGTACAGTAGAAATGTCTTGAAATATATACATATATGAAAGAAAGGTCCAGGGAATCACAAAATAAGGAAGATAAAGCCATCTAGATGTGTCTAAATAGCTTTCATCATCAAATAAAACCTTCAGTACCAGGAATGAGTTACATCTAATTGAGTTGTTGGCCAAAGGGGTCCAATAGAACGCCCACACAATTCAGGCTATTACCAATGCTAGTGGTTGTTCTCCACAAACTGACAGAAAGGCCCTATTTCTGAAGACAACACTTACACAGCCCACTGAACATGGAGAGGTCAAGCTGGTGCCTAGAATCTTTATCCCTCCTGACTGGAAGGTACCGTGCAGACTACCAAGAGGGAAAAGTAAATACTGACCCAGCTACAAACCTTTAATCTTCCATGGTGACCTGCCTGCAAGGTGTGCTGCTGCAAGAGTGGCACAAAGCTTTCAGGAGTGAC